ATAAATCCATTTTTTGGAGATCCAAAATGCGTGAATGCATTTATGCATGAATATATGTAGGTTCCTCTGATAAATCCATTTTTTGGAGATCCATCTTCTGTTATATATCACAACAGCTTTTTGTACCCTGCAGCCTTACTACTCTGCCAAGCTGCCTAATTAAGCAGGTGCATTCTATTAGTCCTTCGGCCACTTGTCAATATCTGCTGGTTGCAGCCAAATTTTGATAGAGACTAAAAGTGCATTTTTATTATGAAAAAGAAAACCATGTTTTGCGGTCCCCCTGCACTTGATTGTAACACCATAACCTTTGAATGAATGAGATTCATGCTGAATTCTCCTCGTCTGCAGGTCTATAGTTTTTGTAAAAAGAACAATACAAAGGCTTCGTTTTTTTACTATATATATATATATATATATATATATTTTTTTTGTTGATATCTTTGATCTAACATTTTATTTAAAAAAAGTTTTTTTATTTTAATTAATTGCATATAGTATTATATATATTTTATTAATTTTAATTAACATTTTATATATTTTTAAAAAATAAAAAAATATTAAAAAAATCAAAATCATAACACAATACTGTACTGACAAACAAAGCTAAGCTCTTGATATATAGACATGGTTATCTCAGTCCTTCGGTTTTGCGGTGGGCGGTGGACGGTGGACGGTGGACGGTGGACGGTGGACGGTGGACGTGGTGTGACATGGGATGACGATGCCTATGCGCTAGCCATTCACTACGTTTCCACATCATATGCTAATAAGGTGAAATTCCTGTGATGCTAAACATGGTCCCCATCTTTTTATCCAAAAAAAAACATGGCCCCCCATCTTTTCATAATCCTACACTCCTACTCCTACTCCTACACCTTGGACCTTTTCCTTTTATATATATCGATTGAATTTTCTACGCAACAGCTTCTTAATTAACACCAAAAACCTCACCCGTAGCTTTTGGCTGCCTTGGTTCAGATGCGTCTAACTCATGACCTCGACTAAGGTTCAAACTATAATATAACAACCTCTTATTCCCCTTTTCCCTTAAATTTCCCCCTGTTCAAAAAAAAAAAAAAAAAAAATAACACCAAGAACCAAAAAATGTAATCTCGAAGTTTCTTATAGCAGGAAACAATAACATGCACATTGGAAGTATATATATCATTCTGCCTCTCCA